TCATAATTAGGTCTTTTTTAATAAAAGTTTCTGCTCTATGCTAAAAATTAAACAAAACATATGTGAGTTTTGATCAGAAGTATCCGAAGAAATGTGGATCTATGAGAAAATGATGTATGTCAAACGTTTGCATTTTGAAGTTGATGCTTCAATGAGAGTATTATATTCTTATGTTTTCGCTTTCAGTTCAAGTCAAGGTCATTATCATAGTTACTATCGTAGTGGACAAGACAACTAAATGCCAACAATAATCGTACTCGATGTGGATAATATTGTAACTATCGGAATAAACGATAATAACTCAATTGTTTACCATCATCATCATCCATATAAGTTATTGTTCTAGGTAATTGTGGTGATAGTGTTGGTTATCGTAGTGATAGATGTCAAAAATAATTTCACTATCAATAGAATAATGAACAACAGCAAGTTCGTTCAGTTCCACCAAGTCAACAATAATAATCGGTTATTTAAAAGAACTATTCAAATTGGTTTCTTTACTCTGTTAAATGAACTTTAGACAAGATGATGTTTTTCTTTTTTGTTGTATATATTTCGTTATAACTTTTTAGATTGATGATCAAAGACGTTTTTTTTATATCGTTCCTTTTCTTTTTCTGTTTTTTATCTCTTTTTCTTCTCTTGTTGACGCTAGCATGATGAGCGTATAATAACAAGAATTAAAGATAAAGAAATTCTTTAAACATTTATATTGGATAAAACGAAGATTACTAAACACAAATGTATTGATAAACTATTCGATTACATATCATATAACAGACACAAAAAGAGCATTTCAATGGAAAAAAATTCTGCAGAAAATAAAAATCAACATGCTTCAATCGGTAATTTAAAAAAAAATAAATAATTAATACGTTTTATGGGAAAAAGCTGTCTATTTTTAGCTGAAAAGCGAGAATAATCATGATTAAATTACTTTTAACAATGTGTTGAAAACATTACTAGAAAAATTTGAGTTTTAACTTACAATTTATGTCACTATTATCATCAATGAAGCTATAGTCCATTTACACTCGCAAAATCATCGATGAATATCATGAAAAAATGCTCCATAATTGTCGTTTACGCTTCAATACACCTGTTATACTAGATTAGGCGGAAGAAAACTATAATAGTGGTGCAAGAGACATCATTATGTCTATCATTGAACAAAAAAAAAAAGTTCAAAATGAGCCGTCATTTTGTTGCTTCTGTAAGAGTATGAAAAGTGCATACACTTCATACACTTTAGTGGTCAGCAAAATATTATATCTCGTCTGCTTTGCAGCGTAGTTTTTAGTTTCTTTCTTACTTTCATATCTTTGTTCAGCATATCTACATAAAGAATGAGTAGTCAATCGTGCTTCAAGAAAAAAAAATTTCTATCGACTATTTGTAATGTCCTTTCCTTATCATTTAATTAATTGTGAATCAGATGGCATCATTCAAATGTCAATACAAATTTATAATTGACGGGTTATCTATACACATGCAGTGATCCATTAAAAGTAAGAGTTATCTTTGTCAGATAATTGAAACTTTTTCTTCTTACATGTTAAACGATTTCTTTCAAACTACTGAAAGTCAGAATGAGCTGATTGAGTATCATTCAACGAGAGTAGTTATTCTTTTATATGAACTAATAGAAAGGTAATTCATTGTCCCGATTATTTTATGATTATTTTTCTGAGCACATATCTTTTTAGATGCTATAAAACACATTGACTTCGTTGAAAAAAAAACAGTAAGAGCAATGATTCATCACACTCATTAAAACGTTATATTGATGCTATTTTTTCGTCTGCTCATTTATTCAATGAGTATGATGTTTTGCTGGATATAAGGTCGACATTTCATTTTGTATGTGTTCAAGTACGAGATTCCAAAAAAAAAAATGAACTTGAAATGCAATGCAAAAAAAGTCTCTTTCTATTTATAAAATAATTCACTAATCTTACCATTACAAAGAAAGAAAGAATTTTCAATTAAATTCAATCTGTATTTTTTTTAAACATATAAGCGAAAAATTAAGATTAATTCGAATAATTTCTACTATAATTTAGATTGATACTCATGTAAGTTCAACTTCAATTGTATACATGCAGTCTTCTTCATAGAAAAATGTGTCCATCAAAGCATATCATCTGTCTTCGAATGCTTGATCCTAATTTTGATGTTGATTTCACTTTCGAGTTCTTTTTATTGATTTGCTTCTTCAAGAGTCAAGCATACATATAATGCAACAACAACTATCGATGAAGTGATGAACTTCGTTTTTCATTAATTTAACATATGACTTCCATGTTATATTGACTATATAAATATATCTTTACAATTCTTTTAGATGCTAAGTTACATTTATTTATCGTTGGTTGCTGGGTTAAATTTTACTCCGTTACTTTTAAATCTAAAAGCTAACATAAATTTCTGGCCTGTACTTTTATAAAAAAAATAGAAAAACGACATCCTATTACATTAGCTATTTTTCTATGCGTGTTGCCAGTCATTGTCAATTTTAAATCACTCAAAAATAAGCATTGGAAATCTACTACCATCAGATCTACAAAAACGTTTTTCTTTTCATAAAATGGCGTTATCAACATTTATTAGTATATTACCTATGACCTGATTGAACAATTGTACTTGCTCTTGATCATATTTAATTAAACTAAAAAAAATGATCAATGTCAACTGATTCAAGTTGCTACTTATATTTTTCTTCTATCTGTCGTGAAAAACTGTTCTACATTCGTGTTAGATCGGCTATTCCGGTCAACGATTTGAATCTAACATCTAAATCACCAACAGTCGTAAGTAATTCACACTGATACTGGCCGAATCAAGTGGTCTTTATTCAGTCTTGTATAACACAGAATAACTATAAATTGTATTTCATGAAATGTCATTTTTAAGTTAAGTTGAACTGTTGTTTTTTTAGACAGACAAACTCTTCCCTGGAGTTTTGTCGCATCTTTCTTCGAATAAAACAAGAGTGAGTGTTCAAAAACTTGAACAATATTGAATAAAGTTAATCTCGCAGCTAATTCTTTTTGATCATTATTCATTTCAATTACAAGAGAGAAGAGCAGAGACTTCAGTCTTAAATAGAGTTCTGAAAAGGTATGACGTTCTTCACCCTAGCTCTACCCTAGGGTACAATGATCGTACCCTATACCCAACCCTACTAAATTCAAAAATTACTATAAGCGTATACTGTGCATGATTTCACTATTTATTCATGAAATGATGAAACTAAGTGTTAGAAATATCAAAAATAGTATACGAAGAATAGCACAGGTAATATAAAAGTCAGAGAAATATTACTACATGGACCACGAATATTACCAACAATATGAAAAGAAGAATAATAGTACGAAGCCCCCGTATGTATTAGAAGACCCCCGGTCTTCTATTATATCAAAGCATGCAAAGTTTTCAAAAGTCTTCTATTGCGTACCATTTATTTTCGTAATTTTTATTTGAGAAGGTTCTTCAGAAAACCAAAACGACTTGATGATTCGGAAAAATATTTTGAGGTTTTTAAAAGTTCAGAAATAAGACAAACCTTATTCTTTTAAGATTCTCAGCTAAAAACCCACAAAGCTACGCGTATTTTAATGCAAATGTACTAACTAAAGTTTCAATTTTTCGAGAAATTAGTTAATTAAGGGGGTCATTTATTATGTCCGACGCATCATTCGTTCAAGGGGGTCTCCTATTGCGGGAAGGAGTTTACATGGAACACGAATATTAAAAACAATATCGACAAAGAAAAAAGAAAGACATGAACAGCTTTTGTCACTTATTAAGGAATGACTCGAAGTAACCAGCCAATAGATATTTTCTCATTATTTCCCTATGAATGGAAGATATTGTTCGATAGTAGAGATTGCCAGACGTCGGGTGTTTAAAGAGACTAGATTGATATAATGAAACGTTTACCCTGAAATACTCTACAGTTTTCCCAATAATACCCTGCCCTTCCATACCCTAGGGTAAGGTAGGGCGGTAAGACTCTAGTCTTGAAGTCTTTTGAAATCTCATGAAGTGTGCCAAAGTTAGTAACACGAATGGTGCACCCCAGACAGTTGCTCTCGAGACACTTGCTCCCCCGAACATTTGCTCACGAATGTCACTTGGTATTGAGGAGGTACACTTTTTTTGATTGACAAGAGAAAAATAAATGA